ATGTGAATCATCGCCCTCAGCTCGGCGCTAATCATCAAAGCAAGAAAATTACAATAAGATTCGTCATCTTCAGCAAAAAGTGCACTTTTCAACCTCAAGCACAATGCAATGTATTTCGTACTAAGCTCCGTTCACGGAACAGGAGTAACAATTGGAGCGAATGAATCACAGTTTCACTACGGTTGATTCTTTCTTATTACTCAGTGATTCCAAGAAGTTATGGGCTTGGCATAGCTGCGCTCGGTGTGTGGCAGTATCCTAGTAACATCACTAACATGTGATATCCAAACCGATTGTCCAAACAGTTCTGGTATTTTTGGCCTTGGATTTTGAAAAGTTCCCAACTTAAGCTACGGTCTCTTATCCAGGGAATCGACCCTTGTCGGTCAATACCTTGCACTGAATGGGCCGTTGTTCCTGGCCCTGGTTACTACCCTCTTCCTTTCCCTCAAAGGGCCTTTGAGGCTCGCACTGCCTTTTACTTTAATTTCGACAAGGAATATGCAGTAGCAATAAAATGCGATTTTTAAATGAAAAACCGGAAAAAATCTCGTTTCTAATTTCAATAACATAATAAAAAACGGCTGATTTCACTGGTTGACGATCAGTAATTCCTGAAAATCAGGAAAAGCGAAGGCGTATATTAACAAAAAAAGAAATTTCAATTTCCTCAAAAACACTTCACAAAATTGAACTACAATGAGGAAAGATTTGGGGAGACGGAAGAAGAAATGCATTGCTGAGAAGTCTGGCCTCCTCCCACACGTCTTCCTTCGTTATGTGTCCTTCCATTCCCAACGGTTCGGCTGCTACTGCTGCATACCGCCGCGGCCGCCGACAAGCAATACAATCTTTGCAATTCTTCCCCCTTGTCGCCCGCTGCCCCACCGCCCCCGTATCAACAAAATGTCTGGACGCGGAAAAAAGGAAGTCCCCAAACCGACAAAGATTATAGCATTTGAAAGGCACGCCATTCTGCGGAAAGATGAACATCGGAGGGCGGCGACCTGCCATGCCGGGGAATGCTGAAAAAGAGAGTTGGAATCTCAGAGCTCAGACTACTGATGAAGAGTAAAAACCCCCAAAAAAAAAAAAGAAACGGAACTATCGCTGGCACCATACATATATAAGGCTGTGAAACAGAAGAGGC